GGAGGATTGGAAATTTATAAAAGGGAGGTGCTCTCGTTGGCCATTTTAGAAAGGGGAGGAGACTAGGACCAGACGCAGACATGGCTGAGAAGGAGGAGAAGATAAATCCTGAATCCCCGGAAGAGAGACTAACTAAATCCCACATGGCTGTTGGAGAAACTGAGGCAGGGATTTGTGTGCAGGTTTTGTTGTTTTTCCATAGACCTGTATGGCTCTTTTGCTATCTAAGAGTAAATTATATGTGTGTTTAGACATTCCTCTGCAAAGTCATTGTATTACTTGCTTTTACTGTGATGTAGCCTCTGAAGAGGGAAACAGTAAACCAGAGGGTCCACAGCTTGGGTGGAACTCTGTGAAGGTGTAGCAGCTACAGGGGAGGCTTGGGGCAAGAGCACTAGTTTCAAGGTCTAGGCAAGTGGACTGCCAAGAAGTGTGTCTGTACCTGGGATGTGTGCCTAGAGGCCCAGCACATAAACTCTGTTCAGCCCCTGCAAACTAGGAGCACATCGAATCCGTGGTGCATTTTCACCTGGGGAACTGATCGAGGGTTGTGATAACATGTATGGAGTAATAATAAGCACATCAAGGTATATAATGCATCCAGGTGCAACTCAAGATTAACAAATGGTGCATACATATATGTCTCTATATTGCTAGCAATGAACTTTTCAATTAATTATGGCATAAACACTACTATTAATGCATTTGGTTGCAGTATCCGAAGCCACTCAGATCAAAGATAATCTTATAAAACTAACTTTTGTGAATATCCAGCAAACACTTGTGATTACAGGGCAGGTTTGTAATGGTGCTCATGCACTCATTTGGTTTGGTTATTTGATATTATCTCTGATCTTGTTCCCACTGAAGTTGGTGGATGCTTTAGGATTGCTTAAGTGAGATAAGAGAACATGACATCAGTAAGGATTACATCTTACATTAGTGATACTGCAGTGTTTGGGGGTTATTACAGTAAAGTACTGTACAATGGAAGGATGCTGAGGAATGCCGACTAACTGCATTGGCATCTAGGATGTAATAGGACAGAAGTGGTGGCATGAGACTCACATGCACGCCTACCTCCAGTCCAATGTTCCCTCTAATTTTTTAACATCCACGTGTGGAATGAATTTGCACCATGTGCACCAATATGGAGGTGATGTGTGGTGGGGGTGGGGCCGAAGGGTTCAGAGTGTGGGAGGGGGCTCAGGGCTAGGGCAGAGGATTGGGGTGTGGGGGGGGTGAGGGCTCTGGGGTGGGGCCAGGGTTGAAGGGTTTGGAGTGCAGGCTGCCCCAGGGCTGTGGTGGAGAGAGAGGACTCCCCCCAACACTCTCTCACCTCAGCAGCCCGAGGGAGAGCACCTCTCCCTACCGGGGCAGCTCTGGTGCCAGGGGAGAGGCACCTCTCCCTACCTGCGTGGACCTTGATAGCCTGCAGCACGGCTGCACAGCTTAGAGGGAACTTAGCTCCAGTCACCCTAAAAATGAGGTAGCTTGTAATGGCTTTTAAAATTTATCCTGAGGGCCAGGCCCCTGTATTATTTCTCTTGCCCAGAGTGGGCAATGTGGGTATAGAAACTAGGGGATAAAATAGGGTGAGCAGATAGCAAGTGTGAAAAATGGGGATGGGGGTGGGAGTAATAGGCACCTATATAAGAAAAAGCCCCAAATATCGGCACTGTCCCTATAAAATCAGGACATCTGGTCACCCTAGGTAAAATACATTTTAGTGAAATTTTACCAAGCTAGTGTGGTAACTAGGTTCTGTGACAAGCATTTGCACAGTATGGGGCTATTCTCCTCTTACTCTCATTGGGGTAAATCAGGAACAACTCCTTTGAAACATGAGATCAGAATCAGGGCCTGTGTGTTTGAATGAAGTCAAGGGACTTGCTCAAAATGTGAGTAAATGAACACTTTTCCTAGTTAAAGATGAGATTCCACATAGTGCAGTTCATTTTCTGCTGTATTGGAACCTGGCAGACTTTTGAATGAATCTGCTCCTAGAGAAGGGTCTGTGGTTACCTTGGATGTGTTCTTAATTTTGCACGATTAAGAAAAGATTAATTATTACTTTGGGTGCCTTCCATCCTCTTTTGGACATCATCTTCCTCTTATCCACACACATTCTCCCAGTGTTAGACAGCCTTATTTGAGTGCATTACATCTCTCAGAATGAGGAATATTGACTTTGTATGGTTTGAACAAGTGTCAAGTTCCTCCACTTTCATTTGAATTGCATACTGGTATTAGATATACATGGCATCCATAAGGGCATGATAGGATCATTGCATTAATAAATCAAGAAAATAATGTTATAACCAGCTGCAGATTGCAAGAGTGACCTATGTTGTGTTTATATAACATCTAAATAAAAAAATCTTATTTTTCTAGTGTCATCATTTAAAGTGTATATTCTATCATTTATCTAGGTGGAAAAGCTGAGACACATTTATTTTATTTATGCTTTTGTTCTTCTGTGTACTAAAGCAGTGATTGGCTTGAAGTTTGCCATACAATTCTCCATATAGTATACTCTAATCATCACAGAACATGGTTTTCTAGGCTAAATTACATTTTACCAATACTTTTACTAGATATTATGCCAACAAAAAAATCTCTTGCTGTTCTGGTGGATTATGCCTTATTAGGAAGCAGTGTTTTAAAACAAAACCCTTATTTAAGCCATAGTAAACTCGATTAAAAAGAATGTGCCTTAAACAAAAAATTTCCTTTTTAATAACATCAGGCACAGAGCAGTTTTCTTTGCAATTCTGCTAACTTGTGAATATATACCACAACAGTATGGGGGTGAGCCATTGGAGGGGTGCAGGTTTGAACATTGGTTCCATAACCACATGAAGATATTGACCAAACCCTTCCCTCCATGTAGTGCAACTTTAGGGGCAGCAGTGGCTACTACAAACCTCTGTGGTATAGCAGCAGCTGTGCCGGTGCTCCACGGCCTAGGGAGAGAGGGAAAATTCTGCTTTTACCTGTCAAGAGTTTCCCTTGCACAAAGCCCCTTTACATAGACTTTATGCAATGGACCAAGGCTTGGCCCTCAGTGTGTAGTATTTTGTGATGTGATAGTTAAATAAAAACAACCTTTCAAATATCTTCTCTAATTGTCACTTAAGTCTTAACCTTTAGCACCATTTGGAACATGACACACTCTCTTCTGATGTGGGTTTGGGGCCAGCACATGATTTATGTCTTAGAACAGCCTTTTTTATGAACCAAGCTGCTGCCACGTTTGGTAATTTTGTGGCCGTAGTCTTGCTAACTTCAATGCGATATCTATATTATTATCATAATATAACATTATTGGCCATCTGGCTGATTTGAAATAGGAAGGATACTAATCCTGTGTTGTAATTACTTAGAAGTGGAGCAGCAAACTGTTGGGATTGGGGGGGAGGGTTGTTTTTAAAAAACGAGCGTTCTGCTGCATTTAGAGACAGGTGACTTGCATTTAGAAAATGTAGTTTTAATTACTGGATTCTATTGTTAGTACTTACTGAATTACAGAATAATGGGAAGTGTACGTTTTTCATATTTTGAATATTTCATTTTTATTGTATTCCTGATTTCTTTCAGGTGGGGAAAAATGGGTGGTGGTGGTTATAATTAGTGACAGAGATGTTCATGACTACATTCCAATAACTTTTTCACAACTGGCTTCACCCTATGCCCATCTTTTCTTGACCATTCTTAAAAATTATACTGTATGGGAGCTCTAAGCATTTTTTTTAAAAAAGTGTTAAATGTTGCTGCACAGAATAAATATACTTTTTCATGAACTGATTTACCAGATTGAATTAACATACAAAAGCCAGTAGGAGAACACTTCAATCTTCCAAGACATTCTATAACAGCTTTAAAAGTAGCTATACTTGAACAAAAAAACTTGAGAAACAGACTTCAAAGAGAAACAGCAGAACTAAAATTCATTTGCAAGTTTAACACCATTAATTTGGGCTTGAATAGGGACTGGGAATGGCTGGCTCATTACAAAAGCAGCTTTGCCTCTCCTGGAATTGACACCTCCTCATCTATTATTGGGAGTGGACTACATCCACCCTGATTGAATTGGCCCTGTCAACACTGGGTTCTCCACTTGTGAGGTAACTCCCGTCTCTTCATATGTCATTATATAATGCCGGCATCTGTAATTTTCACTCCATGCATCTGAAGAAGTGTTTTTTTTACCCACGAAAGCTTATGCCCAAACAAATCTGTTAGTCTTTAAGGTGCCACCGGACTCCTTGTTGTTAATTAACTGAATTAATTAACCATAACTCAAAAACCATAATTTATATCTGCCTGGATCTGTTACAGCAATAAACTCTTTTGCAGTGTAGACCCTACTTTTCTCCTTCGGCAGACATTGCTCTCACAGAATTGTCCTGCATTTGCCTTGCTTTAAAAAGCTTTGCTTATGCTCAACAGCTTGTTGTATGTAAGGATCTAAAGTACAGCTCTCTCTGCTATTTCATTCTTAGTAATGTATAATGAATAGCAAAATTATATCCTACTGTCCTTTAGTACTTAAAACCCTTAGAGTTTCTCATACAAATCTAATAGCATATCTTCAATTAAGGTGAAGGTAATGAGGATCCTTACCAGCAAGTCCGCTGAAAGCAGTTTGGTTAGTTGATTTACTTCAGGCATGGCAGGGGCAGTAGCACATGTTGCCGTGTATGAGGCCTGGGTAAGGAAGTGACTGTGGAGCCTCTGTTGTTCAGGCCTGTAGAGATGGCTGTAACACACAGCAGCTTCCCCTGCTACCACACTAATAGTGATCCCAGCTATACATCTTCTACTCTTCAGCAGTAAAAGTACTAACGCTCGCTTTTTGTTGAGGTCATAAAGCAGAGGTGGCTGTTTGATGGAAATTCATATGTAGTTGCCCTGGGGAAATGGAGGCCAACACAAGAATTGTTTAGACAAATAGAACATTTGGGACTAAAAGCCATATTTAATTTTGTATGTCCTAGGGCTCCGCCCCAAGAGAACTCTGCGGTTGGTGCTGTGGACTGCGGAAGAACAAGGAGGGGTGGGTGCTGAGCAGTACTACCAGTTACATAAGGTAAATAATGTAATAGATTATTTTATGTTACAGTATTTGCTTTTTTGACTGAGAATACTAGATTTTCAAAATGTCAGACTCTTCATCTAACTAAACGTATAGGGTCCAGTTCTGCCTGCAGATACGTAGGCACAACTTCATATCCAAGATGTTGTGAAATACTCTGTGTTTTAATAAAGTCCTTTTAAAGAAAGGAAGTTCCATCCTCTTGTGCTTAGCTTCCATTGGTTTGTTAATGTAACTCTGACTCAGACATTCATTTGGCTTGCAAAGGGGAAAAATTATAGGGACTTCTCATTTGAAGGTCAAAAGTTAAGGGGTATGATAAGCTCTGCGTGTACTTTACATGATCTACTATGCCACCTCACAAAGCTGTTATGAAGCAAATATTTCATAAGGATATCTGCTATGGGGTGAGCAATCCATACACATTGGCAATATTAATCCATTTAATTTACCCTTTACATTTCTGTTTCATTGTATGTTGTATAATCCACTGAAATGTAATGAATAAGCTAGTAAAGAGAGAACTCTCTTTGGAAGCACAGATATATAACATTTTAATGGTGAGTATGATCTAAAATGCTTTCTGCCAATTATTGTTTACTGTATGGGATCAAGGACATTTTAAATGCCATCACTAGCTATTTTTGATGATGCTAAGTAAAATTATAAAACTCTTTTTGAGGATTGGTATTTAGGAGGAACATATCACATAATATTATTTCCATATTAGCTGTGCACAGTTGTCTCTTCAAAGGATTGCATGACCTGAAGGATAACTTCATAAAACTGTCCTGGAGCCAACAATTTTCAAAATATAAACATTTTGTAGGAAGTTAACCGTGTAATCATATAACTAACTCCTGATTTTTATCTGTGTTTTGTGATCCCTTATTTGGTAGTGGTTAATCTCAACAAAACTTAAACCTGCAATGCAAAGCCAAGAAATTGATGAAGAAAAATGTGTTTAAAGTTTTTGTTCTACCATGACAGCAGTTTTTTTTCAGAATACATGTCTTGCAATAAAATTCCTGGCAGTGTGTTTATGATGTTATTGTTGCCCCTTTTTTGAACCGAGTGCTAGTAGAATTTCAAGACTCCATTGATGTTCTAGTTGAAAGCAGAAATTAATGGAGTCTGGGATTTTCTTTGAAATAGTTTTATTTATTGACAAAGAAGTACAAAGTCCTGTGTCTCTGAATGCAGGAATTAAATAGCAAGAAACAGCTTCTTTTGCTTACAGCACCAAGAGCACTCTTTTCAGCCTGCACCCCAGGCCCCAAAACCTCTCCCCAGGTTTCTTCCAGAGACAGTCATTATGATTTCAGTTGCTCCTTCAGTCTGTCCCTCATTCTCTGTCATTTTTTTTCAGTTTTCTGTGGCCTGGTCTACTCGGGAAAGCTTATATCGGCATAGCTAAAGCCTGGTCTATGCTGGGCAGGCGGAGGGTCAATCTAAGTTACGCAACTTCAGCTATGTTATTCACATAGCTGAAGTCGACATATTTAGATCTACTTACTGCGGTGTCTTCACTGTGGTAGGTTGACTGCTGACGCTCCCCCGTCAACTCCACCTATGCTTCTCGCTCCAGTGGAGTACCGGAGTCGACGGGCGAGCGCTCGGCGGTCGATTTATCGTGTCTTCGCTAGACACGATAAATCGACCACCGATGGACCAATTGCTCCAGAGGTAAGTGTAGACATGCCCTAAGTCTCTCAGGGATGTGAAAAGTCCACATTCCTGAGAGACATAGCCATGCTGACCTAATCCCCCATGTAGACAGCACTAGGTTGATGGAAGAATTCTGTCAACCTAGCCGTCCACCTCCTTGAGAGGCGATAAACTACAGCAATGGGAGAACCCCTCCCATTGACGTAGTGAGTGAGTGTCTATACTGAAGTAGCATTTTAAGTTTAGACGTACCTTCAGTGTTCTCCTCCTTCCACCTGGCCACAATATCCTATGAAATCCTCCACCCACCTGGTGCTAGTTCCTGGGTGGACTTTATTAGGCTTTTCTTTAGATGTAGCCTCTTAACTGTCTCTAACAACTGTCTTAAATGGAGGAGTCAGTCACATATCTGTTTGAATGAGGTTTTAATTTAACCTATAACAAAGTTTCACCCATCTCATAACAATACTCCCCACCTCAGCTTTGCCCATCATCTCGATGAGGCCTAAAATGGTGACCCCCCCCCCCTCCAATAACCCATCCCAAACAGAAAGAAAAGAAATAATTTAACAAATTACTAATGATACACACTTAACTGTTACATATGTTCAATGTCTTTCTGTCAAGAAAGTTTTACATCACAAACAGAAAAAGATTGTATTCCTACCCAAACCTGTCTTTGGGGCTTTTCTCTCCTTGAACTTCCTTTAATTGTGCTCCTGAGGTATGTCGGTTGTTTCTGTGGAACTTGGTGGCTGTGACAGTTCCTGCTTTTTTCTGTTGGAGTGGGGAGACTCATTACGGTCACAACTTTCCCAGCCTCAGCATCCTCAGTTGTCAGATTCAGGGAGCAGCCATGCTGAAATCCTGTCCCTCTGATATCACCTTAGATGGCCTTTATGGATAGCTTTGGGTTTAGTCCTGGGACCCAACTGCATCCTTTGTTTATTTGCGTCACTACTGCATAGGGTTCCTCCCAAGGCTCCTCCCCTTCTTTTGCCTAGGATTGTGGAACCAGATAAGGTCCCCTCTTTTAAAAGTTTCCCCATTTGACCTTACATCATAGAGTCTCTTCATTTTATCAGGGGCTATCCAAAAAATTTTCCCTAGCAAAGGTGTGAAGTTTTTCAGTTTTGTATTGTAGGGTTTCTGTGTAATCCAAATGGTTCAATTCCTTTTGTTCCTCTTCAGGAACTCCATACAAAAGCTTTGCTGGGTTCCTTGGCTCCTGCCCAAACATGAGGAGTTCTGGGGCACACTTTGTAATCTCATTGCTGTTCTATAAGCCATCAGAAAGAATGGGGTATGCTGGTTCCAGTCCCTTTGGTGCTGGTTTACAAAGGTTATCAGCTGAACCCCAAAGTCCTACTGAACCTTTTGCAGCACCCCAGACATGCAGAATCTGAAGGCATGGTGGAGTTTGTGGCTCCCTAGAATTCCTCAAACCTGTTGAAACACTTCGGATACAAAGTGAGTACCTCACCCCGGACCCTAAATCTGGTGAAGAATTAATTCACTAGAACTACTGCTACTGTCGCAGCCTCTTAATTTCCTATTAAGTAAGTCTCAGGCCATTTTGTGAAGTAGTCCATAGCTACCAGCAAATAATGTCTGCCTGCCTCTGTCTCAGGCAAGGGCCCAAGAACATGAATGGCAATGCACTCCATTGGTGCCCCCACAAGATACTGCTGCAAAGGGCTACTCCCAGTGCCCTTCTTTGCAATGTAAGCATCACATTTCCTGCACCACCTTTCTACATCCTCCCTGCACTTTACCCAATAGAAATTCTCCCTTAGCTTGGCTAAGGTTTTTGCAACCTCAAAATGTCCATCAGTTTTGATCTCATGACATAACCTCAGAACTTCTTTTTTCAATTATCAGAGGGGTAGCCGTGTTAGTCTGAATCTGTAAAAAGCAACAGAGGGTCCTGTGGCACCTTTGAGACTAACCGAAGTATTGGGAGCATAAGCTTTCGTGGGTAAGAACCTCACTTCTTCAGATGCAAGAGATTTCAATGTATCTGACAACCCGCTGGTACCTGTATCCATCACCCACTGGCTTCTACCATCTTCTGTACAATATTTCAACTTTAAATTCCAAGTTTTCCCACTGTGACTAGAAACCTTTTATTGTGGTGTTGTGAGGGGACACTACATTCCAGGCTGGTTGCATTTGCCGGTTGATTTTCCACTCACACTGTATCCCTGTATGAGGATTCTTTCTTTGGGAAAGTTTTAATTGCTCTGGGGTCCATTCCTGCAACTCAATCCCCATTGTTCCAGGGATGAATTAAGAACATAGGCACTTTTGAAAAGTCAAGAAAGAGAACCACATCCATTCCCTTGAGCAACTAATTCCTTGCTCTCCTGCTTGGGGCAGTGTTTGCAATTAGCCTCCCAACAAGGCTGTTTGGACAAGGCATCAGCATTACCATGCTTATGACCTAACCACTGTCTGATTGTGAAATCCTAACCCTGCCATTATTCCAACCAACAGTCCAGGCTGTCCCTCAGGATTCCTGAATCTAATGAGCCATTGCAAGGAAGCCTGTCCTGTCCTGTCCTGTCCAGAAACTTCCTTCCATACAAGTAATGATGAACATTTTCTATAGCTGTAACCACTGCTAGGACTTCCTTTCTGGTGGTGCAGTAATTTCTCTCAGGAGACCTTAGATTTTTGCTATAGTAAGCTACCACCCTCTCAAATCCCTTGTGTTGTGCCAATACTGCCCCCAAACTTTAGTTACTAGAATCTTTATCAAATATGAAAAGGGTTTTGAAACACAGATAGGCCAAGACAGGAGCAGTCAGAGCCTTTTTTAACTCTCAAAATGCTACATCTTGCTCTGCTGACCACTGAAATGGTTTCCCTTTCTCACACAACCAATGCAGTATTTTGCAATATTGGCAAACCCACAAATGGACTTTCTGCAACAGGAGCAGAGGCCTATAAAACTCTGCACATCCATGAGTGCCTGGGAAGTTGGCATCCTCAATTTTCTTTTTGTCAGTGAACATTCCCTCCTCACTGAGGTCGATTACCTTTTTTTGGAATACCTTACATTTCTTTGAGTTCAGTTTCAAATTGTCTGCCTTCAGCTTATCGCAGGCCATTTGTAAATGTTTTAGTTCCTGTTCAAAGGTTTTAGCATGTACCAGGATATCACCTGGGTATAACAGGCTGAGAGGGGCATGCAACATAATACTGTCTCTGTTAGCCTCTCAAATGTGGCTGTTGCATAGCACAAGCCAAAAGCCATCACTTTAAGCCATAAACCTTGTCCTGCTGTGAAAGCAGTTTTTCCCCCTGTTGTTTGGATCCACCTC